AAATATTATTTCTTTGCAAATTTAAATACCTAATTTAGTAATTTAATATTAAAATGCTCTCTTTAATTACGTACCTATACCAATCGTTTAATTTATATATTATTATATTGTACTTGAGCCTTCACTGGCGTTTAAACAAATAAAATAAAATTATGATTTCCGGAACCATTTTATCTGTTTTTAGTGTGTTTATGCGTGGTATACAATTTTCTTAGGATATAATGTCAAAGTGATGCCGGTTAGCCGGCATGTAATCTTGGTTATGACCGTGCGTATCTTTGCCATTTCTGTTATAGGATGTAAATCATATCCTTTTTTCAAAATACTAGGATTTTCGTGTTGAGCGGCAACCGAAGAGATGTCGGGTCACGAGGCAGTAACCATAGTTACCGTTCATCTGGTAAAAATGGTAAAATATTATCTTTTGTACTTCGAACCTAACTCGTTTGGCCACAGTATCCTATACGGCAACATTGTTATCGAACGTCGCAGTCGCTGCTTTCACTACCCCAACTCACCCAAAGTAATCGTTTTCTTTTCAACAGCTAGGGTATACATAGTTCAAATAGTACACTGGCATAAAAAAAAATGGCAATTACTGTCACGACTAAAAAATATGTTTCATTTATAACCAAGAGTAATAATTAAATACATTTTGCTGTTTTAGTAACGACTCTTACTTTTTTAGGGTATAATTTTAAGTACTATACTATTGTGTGAAAGACAACCACTAAAATATCCATCATACGTTGAACAAATTTGTAGCTTAGCAAATATAAAAAAATGCCCGTTGGGGTAAATGTTTGTAATATTAAACTTGTGTTGAAATTTACACTTTTTAGTTTTTTTGTGTCAGTGTATTCTTTAATTAATGTATAGGTACAACCTAMTTTGTAAAATACTACGGTAAATGGTGATCACTAGTTACATAAACTATCTAAATAATTAATATACGAGATTTTATRTGATATAGGCTGGAATGTTTSAAAATTTGTAAAYTTGTAAACAATTWAAAAAACCATTTAATAGGCTTTGGTTTATCCAAGTGTTTTATAGATACTYATAGTTAYAATCGTCTTCACTTTGTCAGATGAATAGGATTATGAATAAATATTTTAAAAGTTCATGCCTGTGTTAAATTTACAAAGATACTGCATGAAGTATATGAAAAATTAATATTTTTATTTTGTAAGATACGATAAGTTTCTTACATTTCTAAGCATCGTTTTCAAGTGTTCTCATTGTTTTTTATTTTGAAAAATAACATTGAGTACAATACCTGTAATGAAATGTATTCATTGTATCTACGTGAAAGCAATGGTCCTTTACTACGTTTAARAACTACAAAAAAGTCACTTAAGTGTATTGTGTATACTGTTTCTAGTATTCAAAAATAGTTATGAACTTATCAAATATTCTTGTTAAAAAAAAAACGTAAATAATAGTGTGAAAGGTGAATGTAACCTCTTCACCACTGGTTGCACCAGACTTGGTTTCTGTGTGTTACGCAACGTAGTGGTTTCCAAATAAAGTTTTCGCGTCGACGATAAATCAAAGAGAAAACAGAAGTATTTTGGAGATAATTGGAATCTATATGTTGACGTTCCTTCCGTCGACCTCTTGAACTTTTTACTATACAACCGAAAAAAAAGACGATAACTATATTGAAAACACTTTTGTGAGCATGAAACAAAATGGGACRTTTGGCCGTTAAAATTTTTAAATGTATTTAACGTAGTTGAATGCGTACAGTGCACGGTTGAACCGACGAGAATATTGATGGCCGGGCCAAAGTTTTTGTTTTCAAGCTATATATATAATGAACTCTAAACAACACAACGTTAACAAAATTGATTAGTCCAATTGAATCGCTTCTTTTATACTAAGGTAGTTGTATACGATYTTATTGGCGTTGGATAAACTTTATTATTTTGTTTTTCAGCTTCGATGACCTCTTGAACTTCAATGATGTAATGTGTTATAACATTGTAGCTATTCAGCAGGGCACTCGTTTATCATGTTCAATAACCTTTATCTTTTATAACATTTAATTTACAATTTGAAAAAACCAACTGAATATTCAACAGATCCAATCACACTAAAACTATATTTATAATCATTACAACCCCGTTGTTTATTTCAGACTAATTATTTTATGAATTGATTGTTAAAAATATTCYTTTGTCTAGATACGATTTATCTTATCATTTGTTCGATTAATATTACAAGAAAAGTAAAAAAATAGATTATTATTAAGAATACAGCAGTTGAGTTAGGATTTTGATATAAATAATAAAAAATAACAATAATAATTTATACAGAGAAAATTGCAAGCACCTTGCCATTTTTCGTTYAAAACGATTTCTGTGCAATTAAATAAAAATGTCTTTGTTCRGTGTAAAGTTTTTAAAAAAAAACTACGGGTTTGATGTTTAAACATTTTATTTTAAATCATAGCAGTAGCCCTTTAAAAAGAACGAATATCATGTTTGAGACATTTTCAAGAACCTACCAGCTAAATTKCCGTCGAGCATTCGTAAAGGTTTTCAATGAGTTGGATTATTAGTTAACTTTGATGACTGCTATATGATCGTAATGATGATGTGTGGTACGTGAGCTTTAAAAATTAATATTTTAGTTGMTACTTTAATAACGCATAAACTACTCTGGGTCTTTGAAGTTTGTAAATTTATTACGCAATTCAGTATGAACTTTTGTTATTTTCCGTGCGGCGAAAACGTGCAGGGAGGAAAAAAAGGAAATGAGATAGAAAATGTATGTCCGCTGGACTTCCTTTATTGTTGACAGTGATTATACCGTCATGATTATATTCGCGAAGCACTGTGATATAACAACACGAGGCTTTTTGATTTTGTACTGTATAAACTATGGTACGCAAAGCACCTGAATGAAAAATTTAAATAAGAAAACCACGACGGGGGTCTTCWTAGAGAAAATTATTTTTTTATTTACCTCTATAATTAAAAGAGAAAAATATAAAAACAAATTAACGCACTTGTTTAACAACTTAACTTTGAATTTATCAATTTTKCTTAYACAATTTATATTATGCACTATCCATTCCCAATTTATAAATCTTTATCCACGTAAAAGTSTATTGACACTTTGTTTTTTGTATTGATTTTGGAATATTAATAGATTATTCCAGAAAAAAAAATTTRTTCGTTCTTTTTGATTGTTTTTTGGTGTWTTTCTTAACAAATGTTTCAATGTAGAGTGAGAAAAATTAGTTTCAATTTTTGGAAAAAATACCGATTGTATTTCTATACAATTATTGGTGTTCATGATGAGTTTGTTAAAAAAAAGCAAAAAATAAAAATAAAAATATTTACCTWTAATTTAACCAATCCAATTTTCTAAATTATTTAAATAATATCAATTATTTGTAATTCAATCATATATAGAGAATATTATTATTGAAGACAAAACATAAAGTTTAAGATGAGTAATATTTTGGATCGTTGACTCAGTGCCTTTGGATTATAGACAGTAACAAAAGTCTAGAAGTTCGGGCTGTAGTTTGGTTCATCTAAACCCCTCATAAAATCGAGTGATTTATTCGACTTGAAAAGGATTCGATTTAACCAAAATAGAACAATGGCTTAAGTTATCAAATTTACGCTGCTATTCTCTCTCGTATTTTGAAAATAAAATGGTATTATACAAAGGTTTAATTTTGTTATGTAAACTTATCAACCATTTCCATTTTAATTAAGTTTTTGTTGTGTTTCATAATAATTCTATGAGCACGTAAGACATTTTTACTTAGTTATATACTCAAATTTTACTACTCTATAAAAATGGAAATATGTTTTATTWTAAAACTTAGTTCATGTGAAAGAATATAACGATATTGTTAGGTATTACCGTCTTGGTAAATAAGAATGTTGTATCTTTTAAACTAAACATGTGTCATTATTTCTGAACCAAATCTAWGGTGTATGAAAATAAAATAGAGGATAGCCTAAAATATACAAGAACAAGTTAAATATTAGAAAATGTGGTGGCGTAATGCCATTAAAATATTTACAACAGAATACATAAAATTTAACAAAATACTTGAATTAAATTTCCATCTTTTTAAACTTTGTCAAGAAATTATCAAAGAATGTCGAGAAATCCAATCGTAAATTTATAAATTTACATTAGTAATTTTTTTTTTTTTTAAATATGACTTAATTGTGAAATATTACGATCTATACAGGGATGTACAATAAGTTATAATTATGGTGAAAAGAAAGAAAAACTTTAAACTAAACATAACATGTTAGGAAATCTTTCATTAGAGACACCTAGTGGCTTTACAATAATATTTGCAATTTATTACAATGACATTTAATTTAAGCAATTTATAAAAATTTTAAGTCGCGGCACCAGTTCCGCTTGAGTCGTCTGGTTGGATCTCCGGGAAGTGCTGGTGTAGCAAGGTCCTTGATGAGCTGATTGGGGTTGGATTGAAGTTTTGCGTGGAAGCGTTTGTAATATAGAGTRGCTGTATCGTTGACAGAGCGGATTTTGAGATCGGAGTTTATAATGTTATTGGAGACATATTATATACCAAGGCGCACCTGTAATTAGACGATAGCAGATATTTTGGAAGGCTTGGATGGTTCTCTTGTTTGATTTTTTGGCAGACCCCCATACTACCACCCCGTATGCCCAAAGTGGTTGTTTGAGAGAGCACATAAGTAATTCAAAGTGTTATTAGACCCAAGAATTATTATAAGTCCTACAAGTATAATGTATTCATTTTCTTTTTGCCCACGGCKAGCTGTAAAGTCGATTTACATATTGAAGTGGTTTGAGACTCAGTCGTTAAGACCAATGTAAAATACATATTATTTCGTCGTATGTTTATCTGATTAGTTGAATAATTATTAACTATTTATATCCGACGTGTATCTATAATTATTTAATATTTCAATTTATATGTATTGGATTACTTTAAACTAATCACACACTATGTGTATTTATTTTAGATAAAGCTTGCCGTCAAAAGTCGTCGAAAAAGCTTTCAAAATTAACCGCTCACGAGAAAGGGGTATGGGCAAAGGAGATAAAAAACCGACGTCCCAGAATAGCGGTAAGTTAAATACGTGATAAGGGTAATGTGTTTTTTTCGCCTGTAGTGAGCGCAGATTTTCAGCATTTTAATACACGCAAACATAAAATTATTCGTCTTAACTGTACATATTATTGAAAGTGGTTTTTTTTTCTTCGTACAAATAAAATGTTTTATCATATATTATAATGTGCTCGTTGGCGTACATTTGTATGAACTTTTTATAATTAAATTTGTACCTACAGCACACGTGTGCATAATATGCTTTTGGATGATAGGTAAACACATCAAAATCCTACCCTCAATGATTTTGTTATAAAAATTAATCCGAGATGTCAACATTCAGTGTACATTCCGTGTAATAATTTTAATGGGCGAAGTTTATGCATAAATCTGCGCTATTAAATTAATGTTCGCGTAAAATTATGTCTTTACGCATTGTGATTGTAGAACGAATATTGTTCAACCGTTGTATAATAGAAATAGGTGCATTATAATAATATATAAATCTAGTTATAMTACKGACACAAAATCAGTGAAATTATTGCTTCCCCTTGCACCCCTCTCGATGTTTTGCTGTAATAATGATGGTTTAACAAGTTCTTGCTACGACATATTATTACCATCATCTCAATAGCGATACATTACAACGGCATGCATACAAACACTTTCGTCTGAAAGTTACCGTGTGTCATAATATAAGCTTCTCATTTTTTTTAAATTTGTTTTAAGTATTTTCCAAAGGTTGGATTTGTTTTCACTATTTGCAGCAATAGCAAAAAGAAAACGTCACGTCACCAGGTTATAGCACGATATATTATAACATTCGCACAACGTTTATGGTTGAAACAGGTTGACGTGTAAGTAACGAG